ATACTCAGAAGCCAAAGCCCTTCTAGATGTAGAAGGAGAATGAGAGACATTCAGAAGTCTTGCATATATTCCCTCCATTGCACCCAGGAGAAATAGCCATGAGCAGGCCCCAGGGCCTTCACCTCTCTGCACAGAGAAGCTGAAATGTCTCCACTACAGTCTAATAACCACCAGAGACCTCAGGCCCCCAAGAAAGACTTTCCTACAGGGAGTCACATGGGTCCCTGAGTCACTACACCACTATAAGCTACAGCTCTGTTCCGTAAGGGACCAGAAGGCACAGCCAGGGCAAGAAAGAAACGTGTGAAACTTAAGGATGTTGTGGCTTTATCTTCTAGGCCTTGAGCCTGTCCCTACCCTCTGTTGTTCTAGACCTAACAGTACAATTCCCCACCAGTGAGATACTTTGAAGAACTTTTTTCTTGTCTGCGTGTGGGAAAGCAATCCACCGTTCAGCAGCCTCTTCTCAGTATTCCAGAAGAGTGTCTGGGGAAGTAGAAGGAGAATGTTAAACACAGCCCTCTCCACAGATACTAAGATTGAGAATTCTGCAAAAATCTAGATTTTGCTAGCAACACTATGTTAAAGTGTTTTGTTATTTAGTTACATCTTGCCTGAGCATGCAAAAGCTATTAAACATACTGTCAGTGTATTGGGATGTAGCCCAAAATAGCTTACATTTTTTCATATATTGCTAATTATTTTATTTTTCTGAGACTGGCTCAGTGAGAGAAGAGAGCGATTTCAAGACTTTCACCAGACGATTTACATATAGAAGTTAAGCATGTCATTATCTGTTACCATGGAAACAGCAAGTAATCCAGAAGATGGAGGAGGAGGTCACTCTGACCATAATTAATATAAAGAATAATGGCTTATATAGATTCTAGTAAAGGATACAATGAGATTCCCTGTAATACCTCTAAACCTGTTTCCCAGCAGTGCAATTTATTCTTTGGGTCAATTTTCGCATACTAGTGGCACTGTGGTAGTTTTAGTAGTTTGATGCTAATTTTGGAAGTGAAAATTAATTTTGCTTAGCAAAAGTTTCCCATCATTTGTAATCCACCCCTGCCCCTTTTGACCATCTTGATGTTTGAACTTAGGGCCTTGAGCTTGCTAGACTTGTGTAATACTGTTAAGCCATGCCTCCTCCAACCTATTGCTTTTAATTCAGCATATTCCAAGATCCAGAGTTGTCTAAACACCAAGCAAGTATAAAAGTCTGGCTGTAGGGGCTGGGAAGGTGGCTCAGTGATAGAGCACTTGCCTTGTATGCATGAGGCCCTGGGTGCAATTCCTCAGCACCACATAAGCAAAAAGAAAAAAAAGCCGGAAGTGTTGCTGTGTCTCAAGTGGTAAAGCGCTAGCCTTGAGCTGAAGAGCTGAGGGACAGTGCCCAGGCCCAGAGTTCAGGCCCCACGACTGGACCCTCCTCTCCCCCCCAAAAAAGTCTGGCTGTATTAGATTTGACTTTCTTATATGCTCCTAGCTATGTTTTCTCAATAAATGAACTAAAATAGGTAATAATCCAGAGGCACACTGGATTTAACAGTACTTTTAAAAATCACCAAAAGATTTCATTAGGTGACCATAGTTTACAGCTAACACATCTTACTGTATTCCTTTTTTTTTAAATTGAAATTTAGTAATCCACATAGGATAGCTCTTAGCTAAACATTCCATATATTGTAACAGTAAGTCCTTGGAGATTCTTATTCAAAAGTGCACAAGCAATTTCATTTTAATCCTTACATTTATTTGAGTAGTGGATTTCTTTTACAGTCTCTTGGGGGTTGCTTCTGTCCTGGAAGCTTGATGACACATTTAATCAAAACTTTTCTTAATTAGTAGTCTCTCGAAAGAACTAAAGAGAATAAAATAGAGAAAGATAAGAGCTGATCTTTCAAGTTTCTGAAAAATCATATGAGGTCAGAAATTACTAAGATTTTGTTTCTTTAGAATTCAAATCCAAGAAATATAATGGAACTTCTTTCAGGCAGCCTTGTTTAAGTGGTAGATTCAGGACATCATCTGGATGTTGAGTGATGTTTGCAAACAGGTGTCCTGAAGCTAAATGGAGTCAATGTACAATTTCTCACTCTTTAGAAGAGAACCACTTTGCTGCTGTATAAATGAACAAGCCTTTTTTTTGTAAATATCAAGCTTGAAATCATTTAATCAAGAGCGTAAATCACTTATGTGCCTCAATTATAGAAATGATGATGGGATTGGCTGGGATATTGATTTCTTTTAGAGGGGAGGGAGACAGGGAGGAGGAGAATTATATTTGTTTCCTTTCTTTTTTTTCCTTTTCCTTTCGAAATATAATGATATCACATTCCTATTCCAGGAATGCACACAGCATTATGTCCTGCTTGGCAGGCCCAGTGGTCCTGGACTTAGCCAAAAATAAAAACTCTCAGCTGTACTATTTCATAGGCTTCTCAGAGAGCCTCTAAAATAATGGACAGTGCACTTTCCTGTATATATTTATGTGCAGATAATTTATTTAAATAATGTTGCTGGCACATGCTTTATAGCTGCTTGCATTTTGCTACACAGATTCCAGCATATCTTGCAGACTATGCAATTCATTTGGAAAATGTAATTTCCATCCCTGCATACTAATCGATTCCTTCACAAACACCTGCTATCAGTTATGATAATAAAAATGCCACTCTGAATTGAAAAGGGGCCAAATAGAGCTTCCTAAGGAAATGACTTAAGTGTCTTTGAATGCTACTAAATGTAGTAATGTGCTTGTGTAGTGCCAACATTTTTTTCATCATTTGCATTTTCTGTGATTTTTGCCCTATTACACCATCCTTCATTCAAATGATGCCTCATAACCATTTGGTGGTGGGTTGGTGAACTGACTTGTTAGGAGGTGGTATCTCAGGGTGTAGGTAAGATGTGAAGTTAAGCTGCACAGTGTGATAAAACACCAGCTTGTGCTCCTGGGTGTGCCCTGGTCATTTCTGATTTTATAAGTCCCTGAAAACTGTAAAACTGCCTGCTTCCTTGGCTTTGCACATACACGTACACCAAATAAAATTTCCTTTATTCATTCTCCTAAGCCTCCAGTTCATTCCACGCACCATTGCCAAACTAATCTTCCTAAATCGCCAATTCTATCATGTCCCCTGCAACCCCCAAACACCGTCAGTGGTTCTCAATTGGCCGCCCCATTGAGCCTAACTTTCCCCATCCTCTCTCAGCACCTGAGGTGGCTCACCTTCCTCTCATTGCTCCCAGGCAGGCACTTGACTTTTTGTTCAAGCTCCTCTCCTTCCTGCCTTCACTTCTCATCTCTGGGCTTTTGCTTATGATCTTGCTTTCTTGACTGAGTTGCCTTCCTGATTCTTGAGTTTTCCATCTTTCAAAGCACACTTGCTCTCCCAGTCCACATTTCTCCCTCTCTCCAGATGCCTCCTGAATATATTTCTTTGTTGTATGCCTTGACGTAAGTTTCTCATTTGTTCATTCAGCCTACATATATCGAGTGCCTACTACATGCCCCCATTCACTGCTTTCTCTTCCTTCAAATGTAGTAGTTTCTTTAAAACTATGTTTCAAATTCCTTGAGAGAAGCAACATCTAAGATGCCAAGTAAGAAGTCAGACCTGGGCATATCGAAGTACACCACAGATGCTCTTGACTAAATGATCCCAAATGGCTTGAAGTAGGGAATTTCTGGCTAATTGCCTTTCTGTTTGATTAGTATTTTAGTGTCTGCTCTCCATGGAATATCATTTTGTGAAGGGGGATACTGTAAAACACTTAACTGAAATTATTACCATAATTTGATGTTTGATAATGGTGGAGAGAATTCCCTGAGGTCTCACAGCACCTGTGCAAACTCTATGATCTTTGTACTGCTCTGTGCAGGTGAGGCCTGCCAGGGGTTAACCTGGATCTTGACCTAGGACACAAGGGATGTGGTGACACATGGAAGTGAGCATGTATTGAGTTTGATGTATGATGGGTGCCCCACTATGCCCTCATATAGCAGAAATTATATCGATGAAGTTCCTGGTAACAAATGTGACAGATTTTCTTTCCTATCTTTTTGTGTCTTTCCTGAAATGGGGGGAGGGGGGGGAAGATGAGATACTAGCAGAAAGAGTAGAAGGGAGACTGGTTTTGTAACGACTAAAAGGAATGCTAAACACATGTAGACTGACACAGTACAAGGAGAGAGAAGGCAAAGGCTTGAGTCAGCATGTGGGTTTACAGACTGTTTTTGCAATTTGGCTTGCTGGGGCAGGAGGGTGTCCAGTATCAGGAACCAGGGGATTACCCTCCTCAGTCTTCGTTTGGTACCATTCAGCCTTCTTCAGTGGCTCTCAGCAGTGCCAGAAGCAATATATCTAAGACCCACAGTCAGTGCCTTAACTCTTCTGTGTGAATGAAATCTGAATCTGCATGTAGTGAATTTCAGGTTTCACCTAGAAGTAGAGGAACCACTCTGCTTTGTCAGTGGGGGAAAAAAAAGTTTTAATCGGTTGCTGAAACAGATGGAACCGAGTTGCCATTCTGATAGGAGTTAGAGAAAACAATTTGTGCAATTTGTCCCAGCAATAGAGCAGGAAGCAATGGTGTGTATATAAATGCCTCTCTCCCCTGGGAGGCTGTCGTACACCTCAACCTGTGGAATGGATGGTTCTTTGAAAGAAAACAGTACTGCCAAGGAACTGAGCAATCTGGTAGCATAGGCTGTGGCAGATAGGATTCTTACTGGAATTCTAAATACCCTCATCACTGCAGAGCCACACAGACCAGCTTCTGTGAGGATGTCTAGATTTGGAAGAGAGTTCAGGAGATAAGAATGTAGAAGGAATTAATCCTGTACCTCCAAGAAGCATCGTGTATAAAAAAGGACACATAGAATAAGTTAAAACCAATTCAGTAGAAGGACTAGGGGTGTTGATCGGTGACAGAGCAATTCTTTAGCATGTACAAGGTAACTCCCTGTACTCTTTCTGTTTGTCCTTCAGCACTAGCTGCTCAGGCCTATGCTCTTAAAGAAGAGAATGACAGCCTCCGCTGGCAGCTGGATGCCTACAGGAATGAGGTAGAGCTTCTGAAGCAAGAGAAAGAACAGCTTTTCCGAACAGAAGAAACCCTCACTAAGGACCAGCAGCTACAGTTCCTACAGCAGACCATGCAAGGCATGCAGCAGGTACTGACCCCCTCTGTGTATGTGTGTCATTGAAAGAATGGGATACTTTGTGGGCCCTGTAGGTGTGAATGTGCAGCCACTTGCCAGAACAGGGGTGGGGGAGGGAGAGAAATGACCCTCCAAATTTTAAGTTCTTAGGAAAGGGAAATTTAAGTTCATGGGAAAAGTTCATGTCTTTTCATGGAAAGGTGGAATCCAGAGAAAAGCCAAGGTAAAGAAATATGTGGAAGATCACAACACTGGAGATGGGAATCAAAGGGTGAGAAGTTTGGAGGTCATAAGGTTATATCTGGTAGTACATATTCATAATCCTAGCAAGGGGGAGGCAGAATTTGAAGCCAGCTGCAGGCATAGATCAAAATCAAAACAAGAGCCTGGAGCACTGGTAATCCTAGGTACTCAGGAGGCTGAAATCTGAGGATCACAGTTTGAAACAGTCCAGAAAGTAAAGTTCATGAGATTCTATCTCCAATTATTTAGCAAAAAGCCAGAAGCAGAGGTGTGGCCCAAGTGGTTGAGTGAAAAAGTCAAGGGAGAGTTCAAGGCTCTGAGTTTAAGTCCTGTGCCATCATCAAAAATAAAAACAAAAACAAAAACCAAGTCTGTAGGCATGGCTGAAATTCACTATATGCAGATTTAGATTTCATTCACACAGAAGAGTTAAGGCACTGACTGTGGGTCTTAAATATATTGCTTCTGGCACTGCTGAGAGCCACTGAAGAAAGCTGAATGGTACAAAAATAAAGACTGTGGAGAGTAATCCCCTAGTTCCTGATACTGGACACCCTCCTGCCCCAGCAAGCCAAATTGCAAAAACAGTCTGTAAACCCACATGCTGACTCAAGCCTTTGCCTAGCAAGTAAGTACAAGGCCATGAGTTCAAGTCTGATACTCCACAAAAATAAATTTCTCCATGAAGTATAGGCTGTGGCACATGTTAGTAAATCTTTACCAAACATAGCACAAGAGTTTTTTTTTTTACAGGACAACTGATTTTGAAAGTAAACAGAATCTATATTGTTCCCATGTCTAGATTATACATAGGGTCTCCATAGGAAGGATTGTTGAGGGAATGGATGTGCCCAGTGGGAGCTAGGTAACTTTAGAAATAGGGCATTTGATGTCTTTGTTGAAGAATGCCTGGAATTCTGAATGTAAAGCTCTGCATTTATGATGGTTGTTAGAAAGGAGGTATCTGTCTTGGGCTTTCAAGTAGGAAAAAGGATCGTACACACTGAGAAGTCAGAAGTTGGAGAGAGAGGAAAGCCCAAGTACTGGCAGCTGTGGGAATCGAACCAGAGATTTGTGACTGGGTTTGTATCTGAAAATACCAGTCAATATATGATATTCTTAAAGTATTTAGACCTTTAAAGTTATGGTAGAATAAAAGAGCATAAATTATTATCATCACACATGGACATTTTATTCACTCTATGGAGTACAGAAATCCAGCCAATATTTCCTGGAGAAAAAAAAATTGCTTTTATTTAAACTGGAGAACTCTAAGCAGAACAATGGAAAGTCAGTGGAGTGCCTTTTACATTTGTCCCATCCCCATTGACTGTTCTCAAAGACCAGAAGCATGAATTGCTTTCAGAAAAAATATGTTTTAATGATCAAGGATGCCCACCCCTGCAACATGATCCAGACAGGGAAAATAATTGAGAGGGAAAGGAAATTAAAAAAAAAAAGAATCACAGATTGGGAAGTGAGCAAGTTAATGACCAGGTCACAGAAATTATGTCTTAAACAGCTCTTGCCATTTTAAAGCAATTTCTGAGTCTCGGCTCTGAGTCTTAACTGGTTGATGTTCACAGTGCGTGTTAGACTAATCAGTGAGATTCAGAGGTCAGAGTCAGCCAGGGAAATGTCATTGCAGTCATTGCTCAGGTCCCTGCACTTGGAAATCGATGTAACAGCTGCTGCTGTGTGAGCCTACTGGGGTTGTCCCTATGCCCAACATGGGGTACAGAAACTGGTTTGTGTGGGGAGGGAAAGGGGAAAGCTTGCTGGGAAGAGAATCTGTTAATTTCCCCAAAGAATGCAATACCAGAAGCAGCCACACTTCAGGAAATAAGCCATCTTTTCCTCCAGGAAAGATGACTTCAGTTGCTTTGAAAGGAGACAAAAAAAAGTAAGCAGAAGTAAGGGTATACTACTTGGTCAGAGAGCCACATGAGTCCTCCATGCAATGGTATTGAGACCACAAGCCTGGTCCAAACTGGGAAGGGTTAGGAAAATTCAGTCTTCTGAAGGAAGAGTTGCATTTATGAAGCTTTTCATTCACTCACAGAATCTCCTTGTCGATGGGAAATGTGCACAAATGTAGTTCTTCATTTGTATTTCTAGGGTGGATTGGCTCAGTTTTAACTACAGAATGTTATTGTCTCATCATTGTCAAGGCCACAAGTTCAAAATCTAGCTGGGGAAAGAAGGGCTGGTTCCTTTAGGGGCTGCACAGAAGACAGATCTGTGCTTCTGTCCTGTAACTGGTGGGCAGCTGGCAATTCAGAGCTGGCCTTAGTTTGTACTCAAGTCTCCCTGCCCTCTGCTTCTATTTCTACATGATGTTTTCTTATGTTGGATAGCTAAAATTCTGCTTATTGTAAGAACACAGCTCATATAGGATTATCATCTTTGCTAATTATATCTGCAATGACTCTTTTCTTAAATAGTATAACATTCTATGCCATGGAGGGTTAAGATTTCAATATATGGACTAAGGAGAGGGGCACAGAGCAATTTATAATAGACGATAATAATCAAAATGTGTTTATTGGGCTTGACACCAGTGGCTGATTCCTTAACCCAACGCACAGAGAGAGAGGGAGGAAGACAGAAAGGGGGGGGGAGAAGGTGAGGGAGAGAATTTTAGGGAATGAGATTTCTTTATTAAAATGTGGAAACCGCTGAAAGTATGACAGCCCCAGTTCTCCTAGCCATCTTCAAAAGGCTGTGCAGCAGAGTCGGGCAGCTAACAGGCACAGTCAATAACAATGTAGAACATGGCAGTTATCCTCTTTTCTCTTGATCACTATTCACATTTGTTTTTAATGTTTCATTTCTTCCTGAAATACCCACCAGTCAGATAATGGACACTACTAAGATATCACTTTTCTGATTTTTTTTTCTGTCTTAACATTATCTCTGTCATCTTTGCTGAAGCTTCTGCCTAACAATCGCTTTCTTTCCAAAAGTTTATTTCATTTTCTGATGGTTACCTTTCATTGAGTCTTATTTGTTGTTTGTGCTGTTTGCTTTAGGTGCTACTGAGGTCTGAACTGAGGACCTTGCTTCCCTCATGGGTGTGAGCCTAAGCTGTGATCCACCTACTTTAGGCTTTCCCTCAGTGATCATAGATAGGTGCCACTTCACTGGCTACCCTTTCATGGAGATGCAAGTCTTGTGGATTTTTCTGCCCAGGCTGGCCTGGAACCAAAGTCCTTCAATTCTCAGTCTCCAATATAATTTGGATCACTGGCATGAGCCCCTGGCACCTGGCTCATGCTATCTTATTTTTTGTATGGTTGAAGTAACTTCTAAAATCCTTTTGAGAATAGTAATTAGAATTTTTGTTTCTTTTGTTTGCAAGACATTTCTATTAATTCCAGAAGTCGTTGTTTGTTTTTCAATATTTCAACTTCTTTGTGTGCAGTCTTCTTTACAAGTAGATTGTTTACAATTAGATGAACAGGACTTGGTGTGCTTCTGGGAAGTTTTGTTATTTGCTGATTGCTGTGTACACAGGCCTCCTATAAAGCTGCATCTTTTATAATACAGTAGCTATCTGAGGGCTCCTTTACTAGTGGGCTTCACTTTAGAAGAGCTGAGGATCTCCCAAATGTCAAAAAATCTGTCAGATAGTATGAACTGCCCGGTATTGCCCTTGTGTTCTCTTTGCTCTGTAAGTTCATTCATTGACAAGCATTTGAATTGCGTCTCTAGAGGAAGGAAACACACATACATATACAAGAGAGAGCTTGCGCATGTGCACGTGCACACACACACACACACACACACACACACACACACACACACACATGCACATACAGCATTTTGATGTCTTGAGCAGAAAATTATTTCTGGGCCTTTTAACTCTAGCCCTATCCCTGAATGAATTCCTGCTTAATATGTGGCTGGGGTGGGAGTGGGAAAGTATGGAATATTGTTGTGGCCATCAGGGATATAGGGGATGGGGGATGGGATGAAGAATAGTAAACAAGTTTTATGAATGTCCAAGTGGAAGGTTTAAGGAACTTATTAATATAATTAAAATAGCATATTTTAGAGTAAAGATGGCAGCCTGGAATGAGGAGGCAAATACATGAATTAAAATAGTTTTACAGAGGAAATGAAGACTAATAGTAAAAGGTGAAAGAAGAGGCTGAAATATGCAATAAAAAAAGATAGAGAACTGCCCACTCTGTCTCTGTTGCCTAGTCCTAGAAGATAGAGAGAGTTGAGGAACTGAGAAAAACCAATATACCAAAAAACTAAAATCCTGCTCATATCTAGAAACCTAAGTTGTAGGGGCAGCACTGGGTGGAAGGAGGCACAGATAATGTACAGCAGAAACAACATAAGATTTAAAATGACACACACCTGTAATCCTAGCTACTCAAGAGGCTGAGATCAGAGGATTCTTGTTTGAAGCCATCTGAGGCAGGAAAGTCTCCAATTAACTACCAAAAAGCCAGAAGTAGAGCTGTGTCACAATGGGTAGAATACTAACCTTGAATGTAAATGGTAAGGGACAGCACTCACTCTGAGTTCAAGCCCCAGGACTGGTACAAATAAATTCACACCCACGCACAAGCACACACATGTGTGCATATGCGCACACGCACACACACACACACACACACACACACACACACAGAACTTGCCTGGAGAAAAATAGGGGGGAAAAAAGAAAAAGGAGAAATTCTTCTAAAAGAAGAATTTCAATACCTTTATCATGATAAATTGCACCTCGAGTTTTCACAAAATATCTAGAATTC